TCATGGAGCAGATTGGAAAAAAGCTACAGGAACAATATGAAACACTTAGCTTAAGAACTAGGTACAAGCAATATCTCGATCCATCCGTTGACGAGACGAAAAAGTTTTGCATATCACTACGGCGTAACGCCAAAGACGAGAGAGTTCTTTTCCATTATAACGGCCATGGTGTCCCTTTACCCACCCAGTCTGGCGAAATATGGGTCTTCAACAAAAACTATACTCAATACATCCCGGTGTCCTTATATGATTTGCAGTCCTGGCTTGCAGGGCCCAGCCTGTTCGTTTTCGACGTATCACATGCTGGGAACATCGTCCAGAATTTCCACACGTTTGTTGAAAAGCATGAGAAAGAGAACATCGAAGCAAAGAAGCGGGATCCCAATGTGATCACCCAAAACTATGGGGATTGCATCATTCTTGCCGCGTGCCAGAAGAGCGAGTCGCTTCCAACCAACCCCGACCTCCCCGCGGATCTTTTCACTTGTTGTTTGACGACGCCCATTGAGATCGCTCTGAGATACTTCATCCTCCAGAATCCTCTGCAGAGTAACATTTCCATTGATGATTTCCGAGTCCCAGGTCGCTTGCAGGACCGCAGGAGCCCTCTCGGAGAATTAAACTGGATTTTCACTGCTATTACTGACACCATCGCGTGGAATACCTTGCCACGAGCTCTCTTTAAGAAGCTCTTCCGTCAAGATTTAATGGTAGCGGCCCTCTTTAGAAATTTCCTACTTAGCGAACGGATAATGCGCACATTTAAGTGTCACCCGATATCGTCACCTGAACTGCCAGAGACGCACCATCATCCTCTGTGGAAAAGCTGGGATCTAGCAGTTGAAATGGTTCTGGCTCAGCTTCCTGCGCTCATTGATCATGAAGAAGGCCGTAGACAATACGAATATCAGCACTCGACCTTTTTCGCTGAGCAGCTTACTGCCTTTGAGGTGTACTTGTCATCTGGGCCGACGGAGAAAACCCCGCCGGATCAGCTACCTATTGTCCTGCAAGTCCTTTTGAGTCAGGCCCACCGATTGAGAGCCTTGATCTTACTTAGTAAATTCCTGGACTTGGGACCCTGGGCCGTCCATCTGGCCTTGAGCATAGGTATCTTCCCTTACGTCGTCAAGCTCCTCCAGTCAGCAGCTCAGGAGCTGAAGCCTGTTATGGTTTTCATATGGGCAAGGATCATGGCGGTCGACCATACAGTTCAGAATGATCTGCTGAAGGACAACGGAATCCACTATTTCATCTCGATTCTCAACCCATCATCACCCATACCCGTCGGAAATGCTAGCGAACATCGGGCCATGTGTGCTTTCATAGTGTCGATATTTTGCAAGAATTACCCCCAGGGCCAGAATGTGTGCCTTTCAGCAGAACTTTTTGACTCTTGCTTGAGGCATCTAATGGATGTTGAAAATCCTTTACTGCGTCAATGGTCATGTCTTTGCATTAGCATGCTTTGGTCTGATTTCCCTGAGGCAAAGTGGATGGGAATTCGATGCGCGGCACCTGCAAGACTCTGCGAGCTCAATTTTGATCCTGTTCCAGAGGTCCGAGCCGCAATGTTGCATGCCGTGACAACATTCTTGGGTATTCCTGATCTGACAGATCAAGTGGCACAGATCGAAGAATCCTTAGCCATGGCCGTGTTACCAATGGCATCCGATGGTAGTGTACTTGTTCGAAAAGAACTTCTGGTGTTCTTCTCGACTTTCGTGAGACGCTATCAAAACAAATTTCTAGTTGCCGCATATGAAGAGCTACAGGATGAGAAGCAGAGCCTTCTCTCCAAAGTCGAGCAAGCGACACCTAAAGGTCATTCCACGGAGGATGCACCGAATGGTTCCGCAAATGGCCCACTTTCGAGCTACAAGACACAAAAACTGTCTCGTAATTCTACTTTTGGAACTATTTGGAAACAGCTCCTTATCCTTTCCGTGGACCCACATCCTGACATCGCACAGGATGCAGCTACAATCGTTGATCACATTCATTTGTCCCTTGTGCAATCCCCCATGGCATCGCTAACTGAGAAAATTCGACAAGAAATAATGGACCTCTCGAATCAAGTGGCACAGAAGACGCAAGTCCGGGAAAGACTAGAGTCGAAGAAGACGGCACCACCACCGGCTCCTCCGTCGGTTGCTCCGCCAAAGCAGGAAGGATATCTTTCTCTGAGTTTGAAGCGGACTGCTAGTGTTGCGGCGTCGCTAAAAAACCTTGCTTTTGGAGGTTCATCAACAGAGCCGCAGTCGGCGCAACTTTCGGCCTCGGATAAGAGTCGCATGCCCATGACGCCACGAGGACGAGCCCCCCCGGAATGGACCCGCCCCCCCGAAGTTAACGACCAAGTTGCCCCTGCGACAGCCTACCACCAAGCTCCAACTCCACGTCCCGCGGCTTCGAACCCAAGGCCTCATCAACCCCCCCTGCCATCCCTTTGATGAGCAGGTTCCTAGATTGGTCCACAGAGGTAATCCCAGAATCTCTCGCTTTGATATGCAAGCAATACAACCAAGATTATAAACAGTTTCTCACCCATCTTCAGTATTTCCGGGAGCCCCAGATGAAACCCAATGAGCCCGATGAACCCGGTAGCGCGGACTACAACGAACGCCTCTGGAGACGAAGCCGTAACGAAAAGATTATCACAGAGACGCAGCCCCTCAAGAGTAAAGCCGGAAGTAGCCGATGGGATAATTCAATAGCCCTGCTTTCTAACAGCAGCCAGCCCCTGAAGATGTGCTTTCATCAGTTCGAGGATCATATCGCCGTTGCGGATGACAAAGATACTCTTGCGTAAGTCTGGTGAGCTTTGATATTGTGGTTGATGCTGATATTCTCTTCTTTCCCAATCAGGATCTGGGACTGGCAAAGCCACAAACGTCTCAATCGATTCTCTAACGGAAATCCACCAGGGTCAAAGATCAACGAAGTCCGTTACATTAATGAAGATGATCAGGCACTTCTGATGACAGGTTCTTCTGATGGTGTTTTGAAAGTGTTCAGGAATTACGAGTCCGCAAGTGATGTCGAGGTCGTGACAGCTTTCAGAGCTCTGCCAGAGCTTATTCCTAGTAATCGAAACGCTGGGCTTGTTCTCGACTGGCAACAGGGCCAGGGTAAAGCGCTAGTCGCAGGAGATGTGAAAGTCATACGAGTATGGAATGCTGCAACTGAAGTTTGCACCAATGTAGGTCTCGATTTTAGACACTGGTTATGAAGGGGGAGGGAGGTATGCTGACCTTACATGTTATAGGACATTCCTGCTCGCTCAGGATCATGCATTACTTCCCTGACTTCCGATCAAGTTGCGGGTAACATCTTCGTAGCTGGTTTCGGTGACGGGGCAGTCAGAGTATTCGATCAACGTATCAAGCCCACGACATCCATGGTTAAAGTATGGCGCGAGCACAAACAGTGGATTACCAATGTCCACATGCAACGGGGTGGTTTGAGAGAGCTGGTGTCTGGTAGTCGGAACGGTGAGATCCGACTCTGGGACCTTCGGATGGATAATCCAATCTCGACGCTGTACGCCACTAAAGATACCTTACGAACGTTGAGCGTTCATGAACACGCTCCAGTATTCATGGTGTATGTGATATACTTGTTGACTTGCTATTTGAGTTGATGGTGGACTTGGCTAACTTGAAGCAATTGCAGCGGCACCAACCGCCATGAAGTCAAGACATTCAACGTTGACGGCAGCTACCTGTCGACATTCGAGCCTTACTCGAGTTTCCTGCATCACAACCGCTCTTCTCCGATCGCAAGCACCGCATTCCATCCTCACCGCACTGTTCTCGCCTGCGCTGCTCTTAATGATAACCACATCAATCTGGTTTCTTGCTAGGTCTGACCTGGCTTATTCTTACAACTAATCGTGTTTCATTTCCTGGTGATCTATATCTTATCCCTTTCTTAATCTGCTATATCTCAACAGACATACTATACAGCAGACGGCGCTTTCGGTCATGATGGTTTCACTCCAGATTTCTTTCTTACACTCGACACGGTTGTCTGATGACCCTTCTGGTTTATGGCGTAAGATGGAAGTTTGCTGCAACTTAGCAACCTGGCGCTAGGGCTGATGTTTTCCCGTTTTCTTGTTTTAATCCTTGTGCTGTCTTGTTTGCCTTCTTGTCTCTAATTCAATCTGCTATGGACGTATGTATATGGATGGAAGCTAAACAATAGCGAAGATGCAGAAGGCATAGTTTAATTCCATTTGGCAGCTATTCTTGTATTCAGCCTTTCTTCTACGGCGACGACATCAGATCCGTGGTTAGAACTGGTGTTGGACGTTGGAACTGATGAGTATGGCTGCAATTCATTTATTCACGAAATTTATGCGCTTACCACTCCGTGTTCCCAATAGTTCTTCAGATAATGGCCAAGCTACCTGGCCAGCGAGAGCATCTCTCCCTAGTACTGACGGTGCCTGTATTTCAGGCGAAATGTGGGGAACTGTCTACGTGTTTATAGCTCAGCTCTCGGCTCATTTCAATCTAGAGAGGAGTAGGCAGCATTCGTTCTTCTGCGGTCCATTGTTTGTCAAATTCCATTCTGCGTGGCCACCCGTGGAGACCACCTACTTGACATCCATCCGGATGAATATTTGGATATGTGTCTTGGCCTTGAAGTATTGGAATATACGGTTCATGCCTGTGTTAGTCATGTACTTGTATCATAATGGCCTGGAAGAACGAGCAACCCTGAGATGTAAAGTCAGTTATATGCCACTCTTATTTACTTTTACTGAAATCAATCTTGAGTAATAATGATATAAGGATAGGGAACGAGTCTGCCTTAGCAGAATTGACTTCCCATATATTTTATATCTTTGATCTACTCTATATCAGACTGTAAAGTATTACGCCTATTATTTTTTTTATATCTCAACGCACACTTTAGCCGTTGCAACACCTTTCCTTCACCCCTGTTTCATACTCTGGAGCAAAACATGCTACTTACTCACAATAACACTATTAGTAAGGAGTCACTCTCTCTGGCATGTAGACAAGATGTTCATTCCAGTTAGGGACGTTCCTGAGACCGCGTCCTATGCTTATGTGGGCATGGCAGTGCTACGTTTGCATTAGTCAACTGCACGAATGCTGGAATGTGAGGGCTCTGGATTGATAGTAACTTACTCCGTGGACTCCTTCTGCGGCCCTCCAACCGACGCCCAGACAATCATTCCTACCTGCACACTCCTTCATACACGCAATGAGGGAGGCCCGATACAGCCATTGTTCCTCACGAGCGCCAACAGTGCGAACACCACACTTTTTCTTGAATTCCTTTCCGTCGATAACAAATGTATCTTGGGAGCAACTAGAACACATGCTCACCCAGCTATTCGCTTCGCAGTTCGGATCTATAACCGGGACGGGTTTTGGCGCGGGCACGTTTGCCTGGCACTGGGCCAACTGGGCCTGGAGATCTGCTTTTTCCTTTTCGTATTGACTTGCTGCGGTCGCTGCGTGCTGGCGAAGCTGATCTTTGTCAGCCTCACACTGCTTGCTGGCCTGCTCTGCCATTTGGGCATTCTCTTTGCGGATGGCTTCTTTTTCAGCCTCGCACTTGGATCCGGCCTGGATGATAGCTTGGTCCTTGTCATCCTGGAGCTTCTTCAACATCTGTGCGCCCTGTTGTTTGATCTTATCCTTCTCAGCATTGCACTGGGAGGTGGCGGATTCGACTTGATCCTTGCATTCATTGACAGGTTCTGGATCCTCGGTGGTTTTCTCGAACAACAAGAATGTGCCTTTGTTGTGATATGTCTTGTAGCTCCTATCATTCAATAAGTAGCACTTGGAGCCCACTTTAGACCAGAAACCGGCCTGGCAAGAAGTGTCACGAGCACAAAGCCCGGCGCATTCTTTGGCATTGGCGGCGCCCTTATGCACCGTTCCATAGCCTGCTGTCTCATATTTAGCATATGTTCCGCAGGCATAGTTCATGACAACATCATCAACGGTGCCCTTGCCCACAGCGTCTCGATCAGAACAGCATGTGTCGAAGCTGGAGCCCGACAAGCAATTGGACGACGAGGCAGCCCAGGTGACCCCAACACCCGATAGAACGACAAGCAGAGGAAGATTGAGGATCATTGTAGCTTGCAAAAGCCGCAACCGATAGGAAGGAAAGAGCCAAACCAGGGGAATAGTTGGTGGAGTGAAACTTGGATTGGATGAGACGGAAAAAATGGCTCAGGAACCCCGCTGGCCTGATATACATGTCTTGAGACGACTCCCACTGCGGACAAGGAAGTCAGGGCTGGGTCTGCTTTGGTCTCGCACAGTCGCTAGCTAGCAAGAAACCGGTCAGCCAGCCACCGGCAACTCAGAATCGGTAGTTCACTTTAGTGTTCATTAGACTCCTCCTCTTTCGAAAGTCCCCCCGAGCTGAAAAGCAGACCGTGCATACACATCTTCTCCGCCATTGACAGCGTATAGGCGTTCACTGCTTCACACAGACATCTTTCCTGTGCCAATGCCCCTATGACGGGTCAGAAATGATCAACCGTATTAGCATGGAAGATGACGCGTCGATTCTCCGGAAGTAGAGAGCATGCGAGATACAGGTACGAGGGTGGATAACAATCGGCAAGAGTTTCCCAGGTACCGTCAGCACTGCAGTTCATTCAACTACGGTGGAGACTAGAAAGCGGGGCGGACCGAAACTGAGCTGAGCTGGCGATACCTCAAGACGAATCGGAATCCTTTTCCCTCGATATCATACTTTGCATTCTCCCCAGATTCGGCTGAGCTGAAGTCGATCGTGTCGAACCTTATGCCCCACTTGTTACAAATATCTCAAAGGTCGGACTGGACTCTTTTCCAATGCCGCACTGCATGCGCACTGATCCGAGATCTTCCATTCAGCACGTATGAGGATCGCTCTTCGGGCGTGGCATTTGCTATGAGTTGTAGCAGTAAGGGTCTCGGGTGCGAACGAGCAGCAGCTATATTAAGACCCTTCCTTCCCTCCGATATGAAAGGCATCTCTTTCATTCTAAGCACCAGTCCAGCTATTTCGTTTGGTTTGCCATGATCAACATACGGTCGGCTTCGGTCGCGATCCTACTGACGCCTCTGTGCCATGCAATCCTAGCATCAGGCCAGCAGAATGTACTCTCTTCCCCCCGACGCAAGTACACGCTTGATGATATCAAGCCTTTGACCCATGCTGTATCAGGTGAGGTGAAGTGTTGTCCCGAGGGAACCCTGTTCGACGGACAGTCCTGTGTACTGGGTGTGCCTAAGTGCCCGGAGAACACCATCTTCCAGGATGGCAAGTGTGTGTCCGTCTCCAAGCCGGCATGCCCCCCCGGCGAAGAATTCAATGGCCGGGTGTGTGTCACCGAAGCGTCCCCTTACTGCCCTCCCCCTACAGTCTTCCAGGATAAGGCTTGTGTCTCCAAGGTGCCCCCCGCGTGCCCCACGGGTTTCGAGGTCCACGGCCAGGTCTGTGTATCTAAACTGCATCCTACGTGTCCGAATGACGACCGCTTCAATGGCCAGGACTGTGTGAGCTCCCAGGGCCCCACCTGCCCTCAAGATACGACCGAGCTCAGCAATGGTGTATGTGTCAGCAAGAAACAGCCGTCCTGTGCCACGGGGAGCCAATTCGACTCGACAGTCAAGCGATGTGTGTCTGAGCAGAAGCCCGTCTGCCCTGAGGGAACCGTGCGCAAAGGCCAGAACTGTGTCTCTGTTCATGGCCCAGCCTGTCCTGAAGATACCACCTTCAACCCCAAGACCCAGACCTGTACCCTTACACAGGACCCCTCCTGCCCACCCGAGGAGGAGTTTGAAAACGGTCAATGCTACTCAACAAGTCAGGCCGAGTGTGACCCCAGTACCCAACTGTCTGTGGACCGTGTCTCCAACACTGCTCGCTGCTGTCCCGTAGGTCTGACTTGGAACGGAGAGGTATGCCTCGTCCCAGTGGATGTGGATGGGAACTGTCCACCTGGTCTCATCAAGATCGGGGATCGCTGTGAGAAACAAACTGTCACTGTGCCCATCTGCCCCCCCACGTTCAAGCCCCAGGGCAGCCGCTGTGTATCGGTCGAGCCCCCCGAGTGTCCTCCTGACTATACTCGCGACGGCACCGTGTGCTCTTCGTTGGAGAGTCCCCAATGCCCCGAGGGCTACCAGCTCAAGGGCTCTGACTGTGTCTCGACCGACACCCTCGCCTGTCCCGAAGAAACAAAGCTCGAAGGGGAGCATTGTGTGAGCATTGACACCCCGACCTGTGAGGGCGACGCACGCTTTGATGGTACCAACTGCGTCGTTACCACCCCCGAATGTGAAACTGGGAAGTATTTCAATGGGAAGGACTGTGTTACCATCAACCAGCCTTCTTGCGCCTCCGGTACGATCTTTGACGGACACCGTTGTGTCTCCTCCAACCGTCCTGAGTGTCCCGTCGGCAGCTTGCCCAGCAACGGCACCTGTATCACCAACTCCCGCCCTAGCTGCAAATCCGGATCTGTCCTCGTTGGCGACGACTGTGTCACTGGACCTCCACAATGTGACAAGGGTCTCATCTTCGACGGTACTCAGTGTGTCACCATCGACCACCCCACCTGCCCTCCTTTGTACAAGTGGGTCAATGGGGAATGTGTGAACACAGAGATCAAGGGCTGTGAGCCCGGCTACACTCTGCGTAATGGCAAATGTGTCTCCGATGTCCGACCCGAATGTGAGCTCGGTACCAACTTCAACGGCACCGCATGTGTGGGTGACACTCCTGTATGTCCCCCCGACACCGTATTTGACGGGACCGAGTGTGCCTCGGAGGAGATTCCAGGCTGTCCCTCCGGCCTCAAATTCAACGGCAAGAAGTGTGTTGCCGAAAGCGATCCCTCTTGCCCGATCAACACCAAGTGGGATGCTGCTTCCAAGGAGTGTATTGGCGAACGGCCACCGCAGTGTCCTCCTGGCCAGGAGTTTAACGGAGAGCACTGTGCTTTGGTTGATGGCGAGTGTATGGAGTTCGAGTACTGCCCTGCCCGGTCCTTGGGGGTGGTGCTGTTCGATGGTGTAAAGAGGTAAATTCCTTGAATCCAAAGTGTATTTATATAAAAGGCCGGATCCGAGTTGGTCTGTAGGTCCGTCCGGAGAAGCCCGGGGATTTGGATAACGTCTACCTCTCAGTTCCTACACTAATACCATAGCATTCTCTCTCCTGTTATTTTTATATAGTATTATTCTGCTTCCTAGCAGTCACGAAAAGGACGATCTTGGATCCTTGAATTCCGAAACCCTCACCTAGTATATCATGTACAATACAAGGTATATAGACAGAAGCCTTACCGTATATAAAGCTCGACGTGTACAGGGGCCCAGGAGGCTGGTACACAAAAGATGAGCCTACACATAGTACAATTACTTCAAGGCCTTTGGCCAAATTGGGAGTGTGTTTGCCTGGATCGCACGCCCCCACACTTAGATCTTCGGCTGTAACAGAAATCTACTATACAGTATTAAACAGCTAACATAAATAGACTCCAATATCGCTATTCAGTGGCTGAGTTGTTTATATACAAGGCATAGAGTGTACTGTACGGTCGTCAGGCGGGATTGCTATACAATCTCTGACAGATATTTCTTACAAGCATCACTTGTTTGTGTGTGCCAAGTGGTCAATGGTCATGTAAGGAGACACCAACACCATCACCGGATAGTTCTAACACGCCGCACAAGAAGCAGAGCCTATCCCTCCAGCGTGTATTAATGCAGCTTAGGGCAAGCAGTGCCAAACACTAAGTCTTAGCTACTGAAGGTGGTGCATAGGGGGAAGGCCCAAAGGTTTGTGACCTCTTGCACTTAAAGGTACCAAGTGGTTTTATGTACCTGGTGTGAGCTGCTAGGTATCTGTAAGTATAAAAGGTCAACATACTTTGGGACCTCACTGTATTACTTCTGATATACAAAAAATGTCTGCTATTTTTGCTTGTTAGTCACACTAGATGTAGCAATATCTATAAATAGGCAAGGTGGCCGAGCGGTCTAAGGCGCACGGTTCAGGTACACCTGACCATCAGAACTTCATCAGAAGCTTCCGTGTCATTAATTTGGCGTGGGTTCGAATCCCACCCTTGTCACTTCCGAATTCATTTTTTCCGTATCATTTTTTTGATCTTGCCAAAATCCTAACCCTGGTCCCTACACTGCGGTGTTTTAACAGCCCATTACCACATCAGCCAGGTATCTTTCACGGTGGCAATAGTAGCGAGTCTCTGTATAGCTATGTCAGGTGTCATCCAGCCAGAGTACCATAGTGACCATTTGGCCTAGATGGCCTCGCCTGGACACCTGTTCTTAGTCCTTGCAGCATCCACCTTGCAAGTTGCTACTAAGTGGTCACATCCCCGTAACAGTTGGATCACTTATGTGCCAGTTTCGATAACCGACCACCACTCTAGTGTCTGGCCATGCGTGCTTTTTAAAAGTGAGTAGGTCTATGAGACTACTATATAGTAATTGTATTTTACTATGTTTTCTATTTCTCTCGAGTCACCGTCCGGGAAAGTTATCCTTATCCGCCAATCAATAAGCGGCTGGCAGAAGAGCAGAAGGAAAGTGCAGAACAAGATTTGTATCATACTCCGTATAGATCTATCGGCCTTCAAAAATCTCGTGGCAAGACAGACACCGTACCATTTCGGTATCGGCTAGATAGACAGATACATAATCTGGGAGATTTATATATGATGTATATTTAAAAAGTAAAAAGGTATGACAAGGGTGGGATTCGAACCCACGCCAAATTAATGACACGGAAACTTCTGAGAAGTTCTGATGGTCAGGTATACCTGAACCGTGCGCCTTAGACCACTCGGCCACCTTGCTGGGTATATGTGTTACGGACAAACAGTTAGCTAGATAAATAAAATTGCCGTATATAGCTCCATTTGACATAGATCTGTACTTCAAAAGATCATTAGAGCCGGGTTCCAACTTACCGTAACTGACAGGGCGCCGGGCTTATGGTATAGCTATATAGCGTGCTTGTCTGGATCGCACGCCCTCACACCAGTTGGGAGCTGTCAGCTAGCCTCACAGCCACACTAGAAAGATAGGGCCGCTAATTACCTTTAAGTATAGGCGGTCACATACTTTTGGACCCTTACTGTATAAAGATAGGTAATTGATTCTTACTTCCTTGATCTTTTACTGCCATTTGTCTATTGGAATTATCAATTTATAGCCAAAGGAATTCTTACATCCTTTGTAAGCCCGATTCAGGCATAGGCTCTAATACATATTGTTGAAAGCCAACGGATATAGACTCAGACATCACTCTTCGGTGGCCGAGTTGTGCATACACGCGGCACAAGGGGGCAGGGTATACTGTACAGTCATCGGGCCGAATGACAGGAATAGCCTTACCCCAAAGCCTGTTCTCACAGGCTGTTAATAATTCTATTAGTATGGAGTACTCCCGTACTATTGTAAGGAATCGGGATTCACCTCGCGGGTGCTGACATAAGCCCCCCGCGAGCATGAAGTTATACACAACTCGGAATCTTAGCGACAATCTTACCAACAAAGAGAGGGTACTTGTAAGAATATACTAAGTATTGTGAAAGCCCTGATTTAGTCATACTGTCACACAGTTCTTGTGACTATGTGGTATTTCTGTTGTATATCTATACAGGGAAAACATACTAGACCAATAAGCTACATTGGAATAAGTTCGGGGTAATTTTATATATACATATCGGTCTAAAGAGAGGGCGTATCTGGGTAAAAGCAACCAGATTTTGTTGGTTTCCCCCGCGCCGGCTTTATAGACTTGCGCACAGTGTGCACCATAGAAGATATACAATGCTACTTTAGCAAGAATAACCCGTCAGGTAGAGAAGTATACATGGTCACGACTCACACTGCTACAATATCTATACTTTATACCACGGACAGGTATACTATGTCGTCATCTGGCCAAATCACTATCCGACCTATAAATATATATGATACATGATACATCCTATATATGATTGTAGCTGCACCCGACGTAAAACCAATAGATATAGACTCTGTTACTCAGACATGACTGTTCGATGGCCGAATTGTCCATACACAAGGAACAATATCGTACAGTGACCAATCATCAGATCATATCACTATGTAATCTGTGATTCGTGACAGGTTACAGGCAAGACGGCAACTCTTTACCTTCTCTACCCTACAGCTAGTAAACTACTTGCAATCACACCTACATAGTAGCAAGACCATGTAATATAAGTACTATGAATCACATGCAATCTATGCACACCCATAGTACTCTAGAACTGCCAGAGCGTTCAATGCCCTTTTGAAGTTCTCTGTATATATAGCTCTGCGGGTAGTTATGTTTCATATAATGTACCGGGGTGACAAGTTGATAGCCCCCTACTAGTCAAGTTACGCTAAGCCACACGTATAATAATAACCCTAGGCAGCCGATTGCCATAGGATAGTTGAATCAAAAAGTTCTCCATTCTCTCCATGGGCAGTACAAGCCGGTACTGTAGGAATATGTGATCGACGATGTGAGCGCTGAATACTGGAATTCAATCAATATTGATTGATTATAGTAGCGGTGTGGCGACTCTTCTCTTGAACTAGACTGATAAAAGAGGAAAAAAAGAAGATATGACAAGGGTGGGATTCGAACCCACGCCAAATTAATGACACGGAAGCTTCTGATGAAGTTCTGATGGTCAGGTGTACCTGAACCGTGCGCCTTAGACCACTCGGCCACCTTGCCTGTTACTATATTTAGACACAAGAAAAATTCTATTATAGAGACAATACTTGTATGTAGGGGCATCTTTGTATTAATTGTGCTGTAATTCTAATTTTTCGCTTTACTTAAAGCCACGTTTGATTAATCAAATCTCCATTGCAGTCATTAAGTCTGTCAATCTTAATTCAAAGTACCTAGTGCCATAAATACAGATAATATTAGTAAATATTAAACACTAAGTAATTGGAAGCGCTCGTTCGGTCTACCATATCTGTCTGTCGGGGAGTCGGGGACACAGCTCAGTGTGATTAGCAGTTAACTTAGAAATTCCTTCCATGGCAAGTTGTATAACTACGCCGAGCTATCATAGATATAAGTGTGGTTTGGCGTGGTTTTACACGATATGAATATGACTATAGTCAGTATTTCCCTAACCACAATCAGCACTACACTATAGGAGCCTCTAGTTACTGTCTTTAAAAGTCTTTTGGAGGCTGCCAGTGCTAGGTTTTTAAGGACCAGTGACACAGGAGTTTCAAATCTTTCTCTACAGCGGGGGTCCAAAGGTATGTGGCCTCCTACACTTAAAGATACCTAGCGACTCTATCTATCTGGTATGAGCTGGTAGGTATATTTAAGCATAAGGGGCTAAATACTTTTAGACCCCGCTGTAAATTGTAAATATCCTAACATCTTTAGTAATAATAGGCTTACCATGGCTAAGAAAAGAAAATAGTCCAACTCTAGTCACTGACACTGAGAGCTTGCAGGTCGGTGTGGTAACTGTGGTTAAAGGATTAATCCCAAATTGTTACCAGTTTAATGAAAGGTGTCACAGAATTGATAACGATCATGTAAGGTGACTGTACAGTATACCCTGCCTCAGGTGTATGGACATTCCGGTGGCCGAACGGCGCCTTCGGTGTCTATATCAGTCATCTTTCTAATAACGTACAGTGGCCCCCTCTGAGGATTGATTATTGTATACAGAGAACTTTAGGGGTCCTTGGCTATATATTAGCACTGTAGTTAATAGTGGGAAAATCAAGAATCAGTCTTCTGTCGATAGACTATCTACTGTTGTTTTGCCTACGTATCCTTACCTAGTTGACAGGTCTTCTACTCTGATTAGTAGATAACTCTGACAAAAGGAGTCAAAGGATCTTTGCTTCCAGCCTTCTACGTACCCTACTTGTCACGCCGGGGTATACCCCCGTTTATTTCAATCGCTCCTCGGACCTTAATCCTCTTCGGGGGCACCAGGGGGAGCCTGGGGGATGCTATCTCTCTATATTTGATGTCAGAGATTGTATAGCCATCCCGTCTGATGACTGGATTCCTCTCGCCCCTTTTATGTATATAGAATATAGACAATCAGCTACCGGACAGTGATATCGGAGTCTATATCTATGGACTTTAATGCCGCTTAAAATAATATTCTGCAGATCTCCTTTGCTGACATCTAACAGCCCCTTTTTGGAACTCTATATAGTAGATATATATCTCTTACATTACTTTCTTCGTAGCTATAAGTTATATAACTTATCTAAAAATAGGAAAAAGTTATGACAAGGGTGGGATTCGAACCCACGCCAAATTAATGACACGGAAACTTCTGGGAAGCTCTGATGGTCAGGTATACCTGAACCGTGCGCCTTAGACCGCTCGGCCACCTTGCCTGGTTGTATGAGTTGTAAAATTAGAAAGCTGCTAGGTTGCAGGATACTATATTCGGTCCAAATATGGCGTAAAAATGATCTTCAGACACTCCCGGTTCATAGTTAACACTTAGAATATGCAAATCAAGGATATAATAGGAGTGAATAACTAAACTTGACCTAGTGGAGTTGTGAATTCTAGTTTCTAAATCATTCTAAGACAACAGGATGTATAGAGAACCTTAAATAATTCGTCTTTCATATAAGAATGTGACCAGATCAGTAGTTGAATTCAGAAGAGACTCTGGCAGTCAAGAGACGGGAAATATACATCCTACGGCATACAGCTTGTACCTTATTTTAAATGGCCGCAGTATACTGGCGTACTTACTCTCATGGCCCTTGCATATTCTCGGAATCTAATCCTATGAGGGTGTGCGTCCATATATTATTAAAAATCTAATAGACATGGACTTTTGATATAACTGTTCGGTGGCCGAGTTGTCTATTTATAAGTAACAAGTAACAACCCCTGCGAGAGATCCTCCCAGGCGCTCAAACTGCCCTATCCCCTCATTTGTTGTGAATCTTCGAAAGGCAAACCGTCCATGCAGACTTGGCGAAATGGAATTGATAGTCATCGATTCCAACGGTCTCTGCTTCTCGGACCGGTATCGTAAGATGATTTCTTTGCCCATTAACCTGGAGGTAATAGTAAACCATGAATGTTTGCCGATTTCATGATAGTGGCTGCAAGCCGGAAAGCCTCCGCGTGTTCTTTTGCCTCTTCTCAGCGGTCACAGCGAAAATTAACGGCAAGCGATGATATCAAGCGAATGTAGATTCTTTTTATCTCAGATATCCCAATATCCACTTCCAAGGCGGCTTTAAAAGAGCAACCTCGAAGATGGAGTGTGGTCTGATGTTCATTTTAGATTGTCGGCGTCGCACAGAGCCCTTCGGAGTATTGAGGCCAAACAAAACTTTCGCAATTCTTAGTCCTATGAATTGCTCGTTCCAAAGCCTCCCAATACTATGGCTGATGCCGGTATTTTTTGGGTATACTCCACGATTGCTTGAAACGCCCCTGGAAACATTGCGCTGCTTCTTCCTCTCCATTGGCCATCTTCGGATCTCTTCATCCTCAGAAGCTAGACATGTATTTATATCCGCCGTCCGGGTGGATAATGTCTAGGGATATGGCCTGTAGTTCTTTGATCTCGGCGGGAATACTCTGTCACATCGTTTGTAGCGCAGAAGCACACTCTTGGACCGGATTAACTTGCGTTGTGCTCAAGATAATCGGTCGCCGAGGTTGGAACCAGACTGCATCGGTCTAAAGGGGAAATGATTAAACCACAGGGTGATGCTTCTTTTGATCGTTCTTATAGTGCATGAACTGTGGGCAGGACCTGCATTTGTCTCGGAAAATCAACTATAAGTAAGTAGTACACGGTGAAGTTCAAACGGATCTCAGGACGGGGCACGGCTAAGTTTCTGGGTAAATCATAGGGACATCGATTGATACTGTGTCCAAGTGAATAGCATCTTGGATATTGCCAATTGGTCTTCGTGGGGGCAGTCCTCCCTCGCGTGACCAGGTCGATGGCAGTTCCGGCATGGATGCCTCGGTTTCTTTGCTTCCTCAGTACGAAGTCAGTGGTCTGTTTAACTATCGTAAACCTTTCAGAATCATAACAAAGCGTCGGGTCTTTCTAAGTAGCCCTAAGTGCTCTATTTTGTAGGATTCACTGTCCAGAACAAAGGAGAACCAAGAGATTGGACACTAGGCTAAACGCGCGGTGGTAAATGTAACCCAGGATGATCTATTATATGACCCCTGTTTGTCTTGATGTACATTGCTTACATTCCCACGTTAGAAATATTATCCTGGCAAGGCAAACAAAACCACTGAGCAGAACATACAAAAACGTACGATAAATAAACCTTTATCACTGAGGAATCACAATTTACTAACTATTATGTGAAGGGGTCTCGAAATGAAAGAGGGAGAGGGGCGCAGCAAACATATAAATCTAGGGCTTAGAGTAAGTGTGTCCATAGTAATGAGAAATAATAGATCATATCGATGTTTCCCCTCCCTCCCACAACTTGATCTGATATTAATATGTTGCCTGTGCGCTTGAAATATAATAGTCAGGATTTGTCAGGCCATCGATTTTCGTAGTATTCACCAGGTGGACATTCTACCGTGGGTCTGCTGTCACCCGTAAGGCGCTTTTTGTGAGACACTACGACGTACGTAGTTGAGATGTGGGCCCGCTTTTACGCCCTGTGTCTGACATTACTATTAGCCCTTTTAAACTCCCCTGATCTTGCCTTGGAAGGAAACTCGCTTCTCTCTTTCTCATAACCACCACCACAATGGATCAGCAAGCGCGTGAAGTTCGACATCTTCTCTTTCAGTTCTACCTGAAAGAATGCCGCCCCCCCACCGTCATGGAGCTCGCCGAGCAGTCTGGGCTGGGGACTTCCGAGGTCCAACACATTCTGGATCAACTCGAGGAAATGCATCATATTGTTCAATACAAGCATAGTGGACGGTCTCCCACGCCTATTGCCATGGCTCACCCATTCTCGCATCTGTATGCCATACACCCATATATATATATGTACAAGACGGTCGGATTCGCTAACAATCTTCAAGCCCCACCCCCTTCGTGGTGGTAGGTTTTACTATGTATCAAACAATGTAGTGGCATTATTAACAGATTTCTAGAGACAGGGTAGCCGGAGCTGGTGGGCCAACTGCATCTGGTGTGCTTTTGGGCTGGCGGCAATGTTGGCGCCCTTGAAAACTACGATTACCACTCGCTCGGGCTCGATTGGGGCTGAGTTGCACTTCACTATTGAAGATGATAAAGTGACTTGTGCAGAGGATAACAAAGAGATCAACATCTGTGATTGTCACGCTCACTTTTCCATTCCACCCGCCAAGTGGTGGAAAGACGTTCGGTTTGCCTGTGGCACCATCCAGGTTTTCGGGTCGAAAGAACAGGCCTTGGAGTGGCCGCAGAAACATGGATTCTATTCGGGCGAGGTCATGACAGTGGAGACATTGTGGCGCCTGTCGAAGGTAAGTACCTCGGTTGGACTTTCACAGACAGACGGGTTAATTGCTTGAACTAGGCGTGGTACCACGACAAGCATACGTATGAATATGATCGAAAGTCTGCACCCGAAGTCGAGGCGTTGTTTAATGAGCTTGGAATGACGGCGGAGTTCTGGCAATCGCAACCTTAAGTGACTTATCCACTCTGTTCTCAAAACCTTTTTGGATCATCAACAAATCGAAGACCCGTCTCCGATGTTTGGGAATAGTTCAACGGACAAACCGAAAGGATCGAAATGAATTTATGACAAGGCCGAGAGGAGATGTAGCTAGAGAATGTACACTGTTGTTAGAGTAAATCTGTGGTATGCTGCTTGCTATGCTATGAGATCCAAGCCCTCAAGTTTATGCACAGATATGTTACCTAGCGACCAAAGGGGATTGCAGATCCGGGACCTTGTAATTAGACAGGATCAAGCCCAGCATCTCGCTTTATATTACTCAGCCACACAGGGTTATCTGCACACGTTTGATTCCACGGATCCTCACAGCCATAGACAATCATGCGAGCACGGTTCTGCAACATGGTATCTGTAGGGATTATATTGCTCTCAAGCTGACCCTTAATATAGTCCGTGAGTTCTTGCCGCAGCATGCGCCACCAATTGAGGTCTTCTTGCTCTGGAAGCGCCGTTTGATTAATCTCTAAGCTGGTCTTGTGAGCTGTACTAGCCGGGGCAATGAATGGATTTGGCGTCAACCGCTCCTGACCGATCAGATACGGTGGCATGGCATTTTCGACTAGATTCTGCACCGCGGGCTCGAATCCCCAATCACCTTGCCATTGGCGCATGTCGGCACCCTCCTTGAAGTGCGCCGTCAGATGGTCCGCCCGCGTTTTCCAGGTGGTAAATCGGGCGTCGCAGAACCCACATCGTGATTTCACCTCACTGAGGCTACTTTTCCACTCGCCCATCGGTGCTTCAAACTTGGCGTTGTGGACGATGCGAAGATGCTGGTGGAGATGATCTTTTCGGTAGAAGGTCCTTTCTGGCGTGCTCTTCCCCTGGCAGGCGGGGTAGTCATGGAAATTTAGGTGCTCCTGGCTCGGGTTAGGGACTAAGCAGAAAGTACAGACAGGCTTTCCATCCAAAAGAACAAGTCCACCAAAAGGTGAGCACTTCCACTCATCGAGGGAAAGGTGCATAGATTTTTCATGCCGTTGCCAGTCGTACTTGGTTCGGAATGTGTGCGTACAAAACGTACATTGAAAATGACGGGGCCCTCGCGCCCGACGTGGGGCTAAGGAATTGGCAGGCATAGGCGTTTTGCTATGGTGGCGTCGGCGGCGTCGAAAGTAACGGTTGTTTCGATCCTGAGCACCTGAGCGCGGCAACGAACGTTGAGAGAATGCAGACACAATAGAGAGATCCGAGGTGGAGGATCTACTAGAGCCCAGGCTGCTTTCCGACGGCTCCAGGGATACATCCCACTGTTCAATATGGGAACTATCGCTAACTCTATTATCTGAAGACTGTGAACCGGGGTTGGTTGCATCAAAGGATGGTTGAGTATGGGATGTGGAAGGGAGATTGGAGAGAGCTTGAGCAATATCACTGACGGTAGCCGGTTCACTTTCCGGAGGTGAATACTTCCAGCGTTCAAAGGGAGTCATCAGCGATGGAGATCGGTGTGGGATATCAATAGCGCCTGCTTGCATGGGATCATTCTGGCGCGCAGAAGTAGAACGGGCTTTCGCACGGCGTCTGGTATTGGCAAGCCAGTTACGTAGCTGCGTCGGCGTCAGACCTGTCCGTAGCAAAAGCTCTTTCCTCTCCTCTTTGGAAGGATAGGAATGCTCCTGATGTTGGTTGAGCCAATCTTTCAGTATACGAGTAATCTCCCGCGTAAAATTATGGTTCCTACTAGTACTCTTGTACGATCCCGATAGAGCTTCAGGAGCTTCCTCACCGGCGGAGTGATGAGTATCTGGAACGTCAAGAGTCTCGCTCCACTCCTGGTGGTAGGTACGATTGCTCCCAGGCTCACGAAAAGTACCATCTAGATAACTGTTATTTAACATCAGATCCGGCTCCACTGCAGGCCAACCCCGATCCATTGGCCCACAAGGGTTAAATGGTTCTTCCATATAGTCTAGATGAGGCGCATCCTGGTTAGCATGTATCTGCTGGTCCACTGGACATTCAAAGCCCAGGCTGATAAATGGTAACTCCGGTAACTGATCGAGTATCGAAGAAATGGGATCATCCACCTCCGACCAGCCCAGAGGCACATCTGCCGGTGGGGAGCAGCCGAAATGGGAGTTCTCCATCAAGTGCGGAATATCATCAGATGAGTAAACTAGAACGTCGGTGCACCCAAACCCAAAACGAGAATACGTGGGGATGGCCAATTGCCCTGGAAAGGGAAGAGTAAGAATGTCCAAACGATTGCGAAGGAGAATGCCGACGTGACGTTGCGGGCAATCTCTGTCCCCAGTGGCTTTATCGATAAGATCAAGACCAAAGCAATGTGTGTCGGGGAAATTTCGCAGTTCACAAAAAACTTTCGGGGGTGGGGACGGACGCTGGGGAGTTGCCACCCTACTAATCAATTCAAACGTAACGTTCTCTCCAGTCCCTTTCTCGCAAGTACTGCACGGAGACCCAATGTGCTTATACACTCGTTTCGGCAAAGCGATTGAGAAGAAAGCGAAAAAGGAAGAGCACCTTGGTCCATTATCAGCGTTCTCAATATTGATTGATCTACTTCACTTATACAGAACCTTAGTATGTATGTACATACATCACGGTAGATAATGTAGGATAATTATCACTGAGAGTCCCCACTATCCTGTACGATAACGCCTTGCCTCTCTCTACCCAAGAAGTCCTCGACACCAGCTAACCACCGCACCATGCGATCGAGTACCTTGGCCCAGATTTCCCTGTTCGCTGCGTCCCCCTCATGTACCAAGAGTTCTAAAAGGTATTCCCCCCCACCACGAGGCCACACATTCAGTCTTGGTGGCTCTGGAGGATCTGCACGGTTCAGCTTAATCGGGACGATGGGAATATCGTGGTCGGCTGTCTGGATCTGTGAATGGTCCTGGATGTTCTGGAAGTAAAACACAGACCCATAAGCCGACACATCTCGCGGCCAATCCGTGCAATTTTTGACAATCTCGGATAGCCCGATAGCTTCATAAGCCACCGACTGATTGAATTGAGACTGTAGCGATTCCACGATTCCGTAATCCGTCTCCGCTTCGCTGGTCGCGGCCGGGCTGCTCTGCTCATGTAATTGGATCCTCACCGGGGCAAGATTCAGACACGGTCCGACGACAGTCTCCATATCGACACCGGAAGACGGCACCACTGTGCGCCCCGATACTCCGCGACCGAAGACTATGTCATTCAGCCCCGCTGTGCGAGCGAGAGCGAGGCCCCATGCAGCTGTAAAAATGGTAGCAACAGTAAATTTGTCTTTCGAGGTTTCGTGTGCAAAGTGCACCATTTGGTGCATTTGGGTTCGGGGACCGGGTTGCAACGTTGCCGGCGCTTGATTTGAGATCGCTAAGGTAGGAGCTGGGGCATCCTGCAGCTGGGCACGCCAGTGGGTGAAAGCAGCGGGTGACGGTGAGAGCTTCATGAAGGTGGAAAAGTCAGATACGGGGGGCATAGGTCGATCGTGGTATAAGGCGCTGATGCACTCTGCCATATGGCTCAGAGAAATCGCGTCGTAAAGGGCGTGGGAGAGCCCTATCACCAGCCGTGTTTGTTGACTCTGTCCCGATTCAAGGATGAAAAAATTCACGAAGGGCGAACCTGGGGCAATTTCCCGAACGAGGTCATTCATGCAAATCGTTTCGCATACCTGGTCCAGGGGTTCATCCCTGATAGTATGAACGGCGATATCAGGCTCGAAGTGGCGGAGAACGACCTGCACGTAATCCCCATCGACGTTATGCGGCAGAAAAACACATCGGAGGATCTCAATAGAGGAAACGAGCTGCCGACAGACGTTTTTTAACTTATTAGCAGCTGAAACTCCTCTGAAGGACATAGAGAAATAATTCCACTCCGTGCGAGGACTTTGAAGAGCACAGCGAATAGTATATCGTTGAAAGTCTGTGACAGGAAGGATATCGGCTATCATGTTATCCGTAGTGGACAAGGCCTTTGTGATGACCGAGACGTCTGGAAGACCTAGTGCTAGCGGAGACAAATAGCTACTAGTTTGCACATTATCCTCTGTCGTCAGAGCGATCTGGCATGCCATTTCGTCGAGACGAGGATACTGAAAAATAGTAGCGACCGACAGAGGCAGGTCTTTGGCACGGGCAGCCCCGACCAACCGAATAGCAATAAGGGAGTCGCCGCCCAGTTCGAAGAAGCTATCTTGGCGGCTGATCAGATCCGTTGATATTTTCAAGACGTCCGACCACAGCATTCTTAGCCCTCTCTCACATTCGGTTTGGGGTTCGACAATGGGGCCCTTCTGGGTCCTGGCATCCCAGTGGATGCGTGCTCCGATTGTACGCAGCTTCTTGCGATCCACCTTACCTGCAGACGATAGAGGAATCTGTGGCAATAGGACAAATTCGGTTGGAACCATATATCGAGGGAGAATTTTGGTGAGCCTTCTGGTGAGGTCGTTGGCTATGACCGATGATAACGGTACTGGTTCAACTGGCGAAGAGCCTTGGTTGCCACCATGCTTCTCGATGGGTGACAAGAACATCATCAGTCGCTGTGATTTCTGATCTGGGTCTTGCAAGGTCGAGATCTCGACGACATCGGCCGCAACGGTATATGGTGAAGTGTCTAATAGTCTGCGCACGTGGTATTCGACTTCTTCCAGCTCCAAACGCTGTCCACGCAGCTTCACTTGCGTGTCCACTCGGGCTACATACGTTAGTCTACCTTCATTGTCGCACTTCACCAAGTCTCCTGTGCGGTAAAACCGACTCTGAGGGCGGGAAACAAGGACACCATTTTCATCTCGCAACCATGCAGGGTTGGTAATAAACGCGCTAGCTGTTTTAGCTGGATTATTTAGGTATCCTCGTCCTACTAAGGGCCCCTCAAGGACTAGCTCACCGACGGCCCCGATTGGTACCAACCTGTTGGGCTGAAGACAGCTGGTGACCCAAGCATTTAGTCCTCGCGGAGGGCCAATGTTGACAGTGGCGGTGAAATCCTCCCCATAGCGAGAAACAGTGCTAGAGATTGTGCACTCGGAGGGTCCGTACGAGTTGCGAATTTCAACATCGTAGCCCCATCTGGTGATATCGTCCATCTGGAGCGCTTCACCTCCAAGAGCAAGCTTCTTGATCATGGGCAGTGACCTGGGATCTAGTGTTCGGGCCAAGGAAGGGGTAGTATCGAGATGGTTCACACGCAAGTTGTGGATCGCGCGTGGGATGTTGTTACGTCGATCATCCTCAGACGGAACGCAAAGACAGCCGCCTGCATAGAATGTGTGAAGGAAGTCGTACCAGGCCATATCAAAACTGTAAGACGCCAAATCCAGTATTCGGGTTGTCTCGTTAAATCCTGTATAGGGGCCTAGATGAACCATTGCACTGCAGGCGTTGGCATGCGTGATGACAGCCCCTTTGGGCGTTCCAGTACTACCAGAAGTAAATGTCACGTAGACGGCATTGTCGCCCGACAAGATGGGGGTCCATGAACCGTCCTCCGCAAGATCAGGGTTTAGTATACCCTGTAGCATTTGCTCATCGACAACGTGTGCTGTGGCTGCAGACAGTTGTTGAGCGATAGCTTGGGTCGCTGGCGAAGCCAGAATTAGCCGTGGATTGAGCTGCAATGTAATGGAGCGCAGGCGCTCCACCGCTTGGAAAGGGTCCATTGTGACAACCACTCCTCCTGCTATAATAACTGCCAGAATAGCCACAGGTGTCCAGAGACTTTTGGTACAGCAAATGGGAACAAAAACTTCAGGCCCGACGCCTTGATCAACAACGAGCCAGTAAGCCAAGAGGCGAGCCTTGCTGAAAAGTTCACGGTAGGTCAGCTCACCATCCCAGGCACAGATTGCTGGCGCATCAGGCTGTGCCTCAACTCGCTCAGCAATCAACCGGTCCACTCGTCCATCGACTCTCTCTGGGACCATGGCATTCCATGACCATATCTGTTGGCTGTCGGACAGTGATAAAAGTTGAAGCTGCGAAAGGTATATCTTGTCTATAACGTCGTGATGCCTGCAAATCTCGCGTAGTGCTTGCTCAAATTGCACAAGCATTCTTTCCGCTTGGGTGGGATCAATGACGTGCTCGTCAAAACTCAAAGTTACTGAGACGTTGTTTAATGAGGAGGCCAACGGGCCATCCAGGACACATTGCAAGATGAGGGCATATGTCCCTCCTTTGAAGTCGTCATCTCCTAACTGTAAGCGAAGAATGGTATTACCATCTGTATCTACATCCTCTGCGGGTTGGACGACCATCAGGGACTGAAATTGACATGCTTGCTGGGCCATCGAGTTTAGTCGCTGTATCCGGCCAATCCCGTAGTGCTCGAAAGGAATCATGTCAGTTGTTGAGGACTGAATTCCCTGGAGAAATGCGTGCAGAGTTGATGAGGCCCAGTTTACCTCTACCCGGATAGGAACAGTGGCAATAGTCGGGCCGGCGATGCGCTCTACACCAGGAAGTGGTGCTTGTCTGCCCATTACAACTGACCCAAAGGCAATGTCGCTCGAGTTGCAGTACTGTGAGACCAAGATCGCCCAGCTCGCTCGCAAGGTGGTTGTTGGAGTGAAGTGGTTGGGCCATTTAAGGGAATTGATCGACCGTTTCCGAGTAGATGTAGTCGTGGGTTGATATTTAGGGTTGGGAAGAGCAGGAAACTGTGGTGCAATGCAGTCTGAAAGATATGTTTCCCAAAATTGACGACCACGCTCTGCATCGACTTGTTGTTCAAGGTATTGAATGAACCGACTGTACGGGACCAGTTGCTGCAGACGCGCCTCCCCGCGGTATATGGATTCCACCATCTTCGTGACCAAAGAGGCAGACCATCTATCGTAGATGGCATGATGGATTGTCATTATGAGGGTCGCAGAGCCGTCATCATTAGTGTCAGGACTAGGTTGGGGTTTGATGAGTGCAAACCAGAGCAGGGGATCCCCCAGACCAACTGGCAGTGACGGTACCTTCTCCAGACTATCGCACTCGATCCAGAGAGGGGCAGTGTTCGTTACTACCTGGAGAAGCCCTTGCCCGGCAAATTCTATAATTCGGGTACGCAGGATTGAAGTTGCAGAAATCACCTCATACCATGCTGCTTTTAGTCGGGCTACGTCAAC